CATGTGGAGAGTCTGCAGAGGAGCAGTGGTCGGAGGAAACTCGGAGGAGTGAGGAGCGGCGCGCTGCCGCCCCTCGACGCAAGGAAGGCACGGCGCCGCAAGTGAGCGCGGGAGGGGGGGAAGGGTCTTAGGGAGGCCAGTGACCAGGAGCCGGGAGTGCATGCGGCGCAGACGCTTCAGGGAGGGGTGACCAAGACGGTGGTGCCAGCGCTGAGTCTCGTGCGTGAGTACTCGGCACGAGCAAGATGCAGCTAACTGCCCTGACGCTGACGCTCGACTCGACGTAGCTACCTGACCTGACTCAGCCACCTGTGCAGACGCAGTGGTTAGTGTGTACAGACTAGACCCAGGCTGTCGAGTGAACATAGCCAGGTGACGGCCAGTTCGGGAGCACGTACAGATCGCCACACGCTGCCCTCCAGGAATAAAGGTATCAACCCAGACATCGTGAATGGCAGCGTTGCTCACCAAGTTCGTCGAGAACGTGGGGAGGTGGAGACCTGACAAAGAGCCGGAGGGGATTGCTGGACAAGGGAGGACCGTGGAGGCTCTCGCAACCACTGGGCCCCCAGAGGGGTCAGCCAGTGAGACTTGGACAGGTGCTGTGAGTGGTGTGAATGTGGTGCAATCACGGAAGAAGCAACGTGACGCGCCGGAGTCAAGCGGGAAAGTGTGCAAGACCTCAACTGAGGAAGGACCTGTGGTAGTAGACGCACTAGCAACTAGAGCGTCGGTAGACTCACGGGCACCTAGAGCTGCAGCAGACTCACTAGCACCTGGAGTGGCAGCAGACTCACTAACACCTAGAATGGCGGCAGACTGACTAATACCTATAGTGGCAGTAGACTCACTAACACCAAGAGCAGCGGTCTTAACAGAACGATAACCTCCACCACCAGGACGACCTCACTGAATAACCCACTCACGAAGCTGCCGAGGGGTGGGGTCGTCCAGGAGAAGCAGTGCTCGCTGCTGTCCACCCCTGGCCGCAGCGACTGCCGCGGAAGTGGCCATGACAGACAGTGACTGTCAGGAGTAGGTCCAGCACCTCCAGCTCCTACAGCGCCAGCAGCACCTCCTACACTCCCAGCAGCACCTCCTCCACTTCCAGTAGCACAAGAAGCAGCAGCAGCAGTAGTAACAGCAGCAGGGCGGTTCGGTGGGGGTGGGAGGCCGCACCTCCACCACTCCTAGCAGTTCTCCCTCTAGTAGCAGCAGTAGCAGGGCGGCTCGGGCAACAGCAGCAGTAGACCGAGTAGCACTAGCTGTAGCAGTAGTAGTTGCAGTAGCAGCAGCAGTGACAGTTCGGGCTGGGCGGCGCGGCTCAGACACAGTGGCAGAGCAGCAGTAGCACTAGCTGTAGCAAGTGCAGTAGTAGGAGCTGCAGCAATAGCACTAGCTGTAGCAAGTGAAGTAGTAGGAGCTGCAGGAGTAGTACTAGTTGTAGCAGCAGTAGCTTCAGTCAAGTAGCAGTAGTTTCAATCAGGAGCAGCTGTAGCAAGTGCTGGAATAGGAGCTGCAGCAGTAGCACTAGCTGTAGCAAGTGAAGTAGTAGGAGCTGCAGCAGTAGTACTAGCTGTAGCAGTAGTAGCTTCAGTCAGGAGCAGCTGCAGTAAGTGCTGGAGTAGGAGCTGCAGCAGTAGCACTAGCTGTAGCTTGAGTAGCTTCAGTCAATAGTAGCTGTAGCAAGTGCTGGAGTAGGAGCTGCAGCAGTAGCACTAGCTGTAGCAAGTGCTGGAGTAGGAGCTGCAGCAGTAGCACTAGCTGTAGCAAGTGCTGGAGTAGGAGCTGCAGCAGTAGCACTAGCTGGAGCAGCCGTAGCTTCAGTTAGTAGCAGCTGTAGCAAGGGCCGCAGTAGCAGCAGCAGCAGTAGCACTAGCTGTAGCAGCACTAGCTTCAGTAGCAGCAGCAGTGAGTAGCGCTAGCTGTAACAGGAGTAGCGTCAGTAGCAGCAGCAGTGAGTAGAGCTAGCTGTAGTAGCAGTAGCAAGGAGGAGCAGCTGCAGCAAGTAGCAGCAGCACCGAGTGCAGCAGGAACACGGGCCGCGTGCGGGCCAGGCACGGGTTGTAAGAGCTGCGTGCGGGCCTAGCGCGGGCTTCATCTCAAAAATGTCGGGTCTATTTCCGGGCGTTAACATCCATACTTTGGTTGTAAACAATGTATTTATGCCCAATAATTGCCCGGTTGTAAAACTGGGGTTTGAGCTCAATAGTCGCACAAACCATATTTCTACAATCGTTTGCAGCTGAGAAAAATTGGCAGGGAGCTCCTGATTGGTCGTCGAAAGTGGTTGGAAGTCGCTGGGGCGATTGGTCGAGCTCTGTACCAAGCGACATCGTTGCTGTTGCAGCGCGACATGAGCAATATCGCACACCCTCACCGTGGGCTCACGACGAATCGCGATACCGCACTACAGTCAGTTTCCGTGGAGGTGACCACAGTACATCCTCCACGTGGACCTAGACGAAGGTATTCCAGCAAACGTGGCGACTCCAACTCAAAAGCAGGGGAAACACAGTGACTGTATTAGCTGGAAACATGAGTTTTAGGGAAACGATTTCAAGCGCACGTCACTCCCTTCTCCCACAAAGTAGGTACACGATTGTGGTGCCTGCTTTTTCAAAATTTGTACAACAATCAGTACTCAATATATACAAATATACAAAAAAAAAAGCCATCAAAACAGAAAATGGTTGAGGAACCATGTCTGGCCTGCAGACTCAAGCTGCACAAATTGAACAGCTCTAAGAATCGAAGCTGTCTCTACAACCATGTACCTTTGAGAAACCCCTTCTAAACTGAATTGCCGGCAGCCGGTCAATTCATCTAACGCGTCATGCTCGATATAATACCTCACGAATGCGAATTCGCGTCGATCTAGACCATGGCCGACATGGAATAGTAGCAGAACCTTGCCGTACCACTCCGATCCTGTACCTTGGATAGCAACATCACTGAACCAAACTTTCTTGTGGAATAGCGGAACCGCTCGGATACGGTGTGGGGTGCTAGAAAAAGCCTCGTCCGTCGCGGGTGGCATGGCCAACTCAACATGAACCTGTACAGAAGTTGTGTGCCACATATTGCATCATTAGTAAAGGCATAACGTAATTGTTGCCGGGCGTGCAACAAACAAATGCGTGCTAAGGGTAACGTACGTAAATTGTGTCGATGTTCGGGCCGTTGGGTACGTCACGATTGATGGAACGACGAAGATATGGGAGGTCGTTATGTAGGCTGTCCAGATACAATTGGTCTCGCTTTGGGTCAGGCTTGGAGAATCCGACGTATGGGTACTCGCGACGACGCGCGTGAACGATCAACCCCCATGAACTCTTAGAGAGTGTACGTGCTCCTATCTTCAATGCCTGTACAAAGTTCATAAAAAAATCAGACTTGTACCATCCTTCAATATGAGAAAAGTAAGGCTTGATTGTCACTGTAAAATATACGTACCTGACGCATTGCATTACTGTATTCGTGTGTAGTGTCCAAGTCGGCTTGAGGTAGCGAATCCAGTTGCAAGCGTACCTCCTCCGCTTGGATGATTTGTCCACCCGCGTCACGCTTGTTGGATGCACGGTATGGCCTCTTGATATGGTCCTTGTGAAAGTGCTCAAACATGCTTGCATCATAGTGGAGTGGAGGGCCCGCACGGCGAATTGCGTCGATGTAGTGACTCATCAAGTGGGTCTTGATAAATCCCCATTTGTAGAGAGGGAAGCTCTTTTTTAAAAGCTCAATTAACCTGCAAATACATTCACACAAGATGTAGTCAGGTCGAAGGGCATATTACAATTATGTACATGCAATTTAGAAAGCGTACGAACCTCTTGGATTGGTCCTCGAGTTTTGTCAAGTTTTCCTCGTCATAGTCTCTCGTCTTCCCACACGTGTGATACCACTCGATGTATGCCACAACGGCGTCCATGTGTGGTTTCGCCACAGTCTCGAATGAGGAAAGGAAGGATTTGCATGACACACCTGTGCTCGTAAGCTTGGAACGAAGCACCTAGACGGAAATACTCTCCAGATGGTAGGCGCAAACCATCAACCCGACATGTCAACTTCAACTGCTTCAAGATGCTGCAAGGAAGGAGAGAGAGATACATTAGTCTTATGCACTGTGGAACAATAGAAAGAATGGTGTCAAGCGATGTAACGTACTCATTAATGGCGACATGGTATTTTTGATCAATGACCCCTCTCAAGGCGGCAATAATGTGCTCCAGCATGCCAAGATCAGCCTGATGCATTAGGTCTGGCATCACCGCCATATAAGGGCTGCCCCACGGCTCTGACTCGAAACGGAAGCCATGAAGCGGAAGCCATGAAGCGCGCACTGCGTTGGGTTTAGAATGACAAGAGAGTGTAGAGTGAAACATGACTAGTATATGACGCAAGAACAGTGGATTGTTTTGCACATACCTCTACATGATGAGTGCTGTAGGTTTGCGGGTGAGGCCCACCTCGTTGCCGTGTAGAGACGGCCTTGTAGATGACATCTTGTTCTTCGGATGAGCGATATTCATCTCTCTGCGTGAAAGAGGTTTTGTGGACCTTGCATAAGGAACAGGGGTAGAATGTACCTAGAGACTTGGTGCAGGTGAGTTGGCACGTCTCTGGGTAGTCCGCCACATAGGCGTATAGTGCTGGGTAGGCCGTGAAAACGTGACCAGACTGGTCATGCACACGGGTCCCCCTGAAAAATCGAAATGTGGGCAACGGGGCAAAGAGGTAAGACAACTAGAGAGAAGGGAAGCATGGGCACAGCAATCCGAGAAGGAAGGTACGGGGATGAGAGGAGGGAAGTAAAGGACGCAAAAGGGCAGCGAGGTTGGAAGAATGCTAAGAGCGAAGCATGGGGCAGCAATCTGAGAAGGAGAGGAGAGAGATGAGTAGGAGGGCAGTCACAGAAGCAAGGCCCATAGTGTTGAAAGGAAGTGCATCATGTGGCGAGCATGGCGAGCAGGATAGGTCAGGGATGAGTATGGGGGCACTTACACGTGTGAAGCATCTTTCAATGGTTGAAGAACGAGGCGCAAGACATACTGGAAGATCTGCAGTCGGTCAACCGACGTGTACTCCGCCGGAAACTCCGGTAACGTTGCAATGAGTGCATGCCCATATGGCTTCCAGCGATCCTCATGATGAATGTTTCCCAATGACATGTAGATGGGATGCCCCTTAGCTTTTCCTTGGCCGTCAGCTATTGTCTCATCCGACGAGAGAATGAGAGTGGCAACGACGTCGTCGATGCCAAGGCGATCCTGTTGGGGGGTTGGAAGAAGGATTCGGAGGGAGATACAAAGACAGGATGTGAGGGGCTATAGTTACAGAGTTAAGGACAGTGAGAGAGAGGGATGTGCTTGGGACAGACGGTGTAGCAAGTACAGGTTGGGAGGGGCTAGAATAACTGAGAGTGGGGCCAGATTATTGAAAGAAGCGCAGGGGAGAGAAGGAATGGCAGGGAGAGGTAGAGTGGGACTGGAAAACCAGAATGCGGGGCAAGGCGCGAGAGGGAAGCGCATGGGAGAGAAGGAATGGCAGGGAGAGGTAGAGTGGGACTGGAAAACCAGAATGCGGGGCAAGGCGCGAGAGGGAAGCGCATGGGAGAGAAGGAATGGCAGGGAGAGGTAGAGTGGGACTGAAAAACCAGAATGAGGGGCAAGGCGTGAGAGGGAAGCGCAGGGGAGAGAAGGAATGGCAGGGAGAGGTAGAGTGGGACTGGAAAACCAGAATGCGGGGCAAGGCGCGAGAGGGAAGCGCATGGGAGAGAAGGAATGGCAGGGAGAGGTAGAGTGGGACTGGAAAACCAGAATGCGGGGCAAGGCGCGAGAGGGAAGCGCATGGGAGAGAAGGAATGGCAGGGAGAGGTAGAGTGGGACTGAAAAACCAGAATGAGGGGCAAGGCGTGAGAGGGAAGCGCAGGGGAGAGAAGGAATGGCAGGGAGAGGTAGAGTGGGACTGGAAAACCAGAATGCGGGGCAAGGCGCGAGAGGGAAGCGCATGGGAGAGAAGGAATGGCAGGGAGAGGTAGAGTGGGACTGGAAAACCAGAATGCGGGGCAAGGCGCGTGAGGGAAGCACAGGGGAGAGACGGAATGGCAGGGAGAGGTAGAGTGGGACTGGAAAACCAGAATGCGGGGCAAGGACCGAGAGGGAAGCGCATGGGAGAGAAGGAATGGCAGGGAGAGGTAGAGTGGGACTGGAAAACCAGAATGCGGGGCAAGGCGCGAGAGGGAAGCGCATGGGAGAGAAGGAATGGCAGGGAGAGGTAGAGTGGGACTGGAAAACCAGAATGCGGGGCAAGGCGCGAGAGGGAAGCGCATGGGAGAGAAGGAATGGCAGGGAGAGGTAGAGTGGGACTGAAAAACCAGAATGAGGGGCAAGGCGTGAGAGGGAAGCGCAGGGGAGAGAAGGAATGGCAGGGAGAGGTAGAGTGGGACTGGAAAACCAGAATGCGGGGCAAGGCGCGAGAGGGAAGCGCATGGGAGAGAAGGAATGGCAGGGAGAGGTAGAGTGGGACTGAAAAACCAGAATGAGGGGCAAGGCGTGAGAGGGAAGCGCAGGGGAGAGAAGGAATGGCAGGGAGAGGTAGAGTGGGACTGGAAAACCAGAATGCGGGGCAAGGCGCGTGAGGGAAGCGCAGGGAAGAGACGGAATGGCAGGGAGAGGTAGAGTGGGACTGGAAAACCAGAATGCGGGGCAAGGCGTGAGAGGGAAACGCAGGGGAGAGAAGGAATGGCAGGGAGAGGTAGAGTGGGACTGGAAAACCAGAATGCGGGGCAAGGCGCCAGAGGGAAGCGCAGGGGAGAGAAGGAATGGCAGGGAGAGGTAGAGTGGGACTGGAAAACCAGAATGCGGGGCAAGGCGCGAGAGGGAAGCGCATGGGAGAGAAGGAATGGCAGGGAGAGGTAGAGTGGGACTGAAAAACCAGAATGAGGGGCAAGGCGTGAGAGGGAAGCGCAGGGGAGAGACGGAATGGCAGGGAGAGGTAGAGTGGGACTGGAAAACCAGAATGCGGGGCAAGGCGCGTGAGGGAAGCGCAGGGAAGAGACGGAATGGCAGGGAGAGGTAGAGTGGGACTGGAAAACCAGAATGCGGGGCAAGGCGTGAGAGGGAAACGCAGGGGAGAGAAGGAATGGCAGGGAGAGGTAGAGTGGGACTGGAAAACCAGAATGCGGGGCAAGGCGCGAGAGGGAAGCGCAGGGGAGAGAAGGAATGGCAGGGAGAGGTAGAGTGGGACTAGAAAACCAGAATGCGGGGCAAGGCGCGAGAGGGAAGCGCATGGGAGAGAAGGAATGGCAGGGAGAGGTAGAGTGGGACTGGAAAACCAGAATGCGGGGCAAGGCGCGAGAGGGAAGCGCATGGGAGAGAAGGAATGGCAGGGAGAGGTAGAGTGGGACTGGAAAACCAGAATGCGGGGCAAGGCGCGAGAGGGAAGCGCAGGGGAGAGAAGGAATGGCAGGGAGAGGTAGAGTGGGACTGGAAAACCAGAATGCGGGGCAAGGCGCATGAGGGAAGCGCAGGGGAGAGAAGGAATGGCAGGGAGAGGTAGAGTGGGACTGGAAAACAAGAATGCGGGGCAAGGCGCGAGAGGGAAGCGCATGGGAGAGAAGGAATGGCAGGGAGAGGTAGAGTGGGACTGGAAAACCAGAATGCGGGGCAAGGCGCGAGAGGGAAGCGCATGGGAGAGAAGGAATGGCAGGGAGAGGTAGAGTGGGACTGGAAAACCAGAATGCGGGGCAAGGCGCGAGAGGGAAGCGCAGGGGAGAGAAGGAATGGCAGGGAGAGGTAGAGTGGGACTGGAAAACCAGAATGCGGGGCAAGGCGCATGAGGGAAGCGCAGGGGAGAGAAGGAATGGCAGGGAGAGGTAGAGTGGGACTGGAAAACAGGAATGCGGGGCAAGGCGCGTGAGGGAAGCGCAGGGGAGAGAAGGAATGGCAGGGAGAGGTAGAGTGGGACTGGAAAACCAGAATGCGGGGCAAGGCGCGAGAGGGAAGCGCATGGGAGAGAAGGAATGGCAGGGAGAGGTAGAGTGGGACTGAAAAACCAGAATGAGGGGCAAGGCGTGAGAGGGAAGCGCAGGGGAGAGAAGGAATGGCAGGGAGAGGTAGAGTGGGACTGGAAAACCAGAATGCGGGGCAAGGCGCGTGAGGGAAGCGCAGGGAAGAGACGGAATGGCAGGGAGAGGTAGAGTGGGACTGGAAAACCAGAATGCGGGGCAAGGCGTGAGAGGGAAACGCAGGGGAGAGAAGGAATGGCAGGGAGAGGTAGAGTGGGACTGGAAAACCAGAATGCGGGGCAAGGCGCGAGAGGGAAGCGCAGGGGAGAGAAGGAATGGCAGGGAGAGGTAGAGTGGGACTAGAAAACCAGAATGCGGGGCAAGGCGCGAGAGGGAAGCGCATGGGAGAGAAGGAATGGCAGGGAGAGGTAGAGTGGGACTGGAAAACCAGAATGCGGGGCAAGGCGCGAGAGGGAAGCGCATGGGAGAGAAGGAATGGCAGGGAGAGGTAGAGTGGGACTGGAAAACCAGAATGCGGGGCAAGGCGCGAGAGGGAAGCGCAGGGGAGAGAAGGAATGGCAGGGAGAGGTAGAGTGGGACTGGAAAACCAGAATGCGGGGCAAGGCGCATGAGGGAAGCGCAGGGGAGAGAAGGAATGGCAGGGAGAGGTAGAGTGGGACTGGAAAACAAGAATGCGGGGCAAGGCGCGTGAGGGAAGCGCAGGGGAGAGAAGGAATGGCAGGGAGAGGTAGAGTGGGACTGGAAAACCAGAATGCGGGGCAAGGCGTGAGAGGGAAACGCAGGGGAGAGAAGGAATGGCAGGGAGAGGTAGAGTGGGACTAGAAAACCAGAATGCGGGGCAAGGCGCGTGAGGGAAGCGCAGGGGAGAGACGGAATGGCAGGGAGAGGTAGAGTGGGACTGGAAAACCAGAATGCGGGGCAAGGCGTGAGAGGGAAACGCAGGGGAGAGAAGAAATGGCAGGGAGAGGTAGAGTGGGACTGGAAAACCAGAATGCGGGGCAAGGCGCGTGAGGGAAGCGCAGGGGAGAGAAGGGATGGCAGGGAGAGGTAGAGTGGGACTGGAAAACCAGAATGCGGGGCAAGGCGCGTGAGGGAAGCACAGGGGAGAGACGGAATGGCAGGGAGAGGTAGAGTGGGACTGGAAAACCAGAATGCGGGGCAAGGCGTGAGAGGGAAACGCAGGGGAGAGAAGGAATGGCAGGGAGAGGTAGAGTGGGACTGGAAAACCAGAATGCTGGGCAAGGCGCGTGAGGGAAGCGCAGGGGAGAGACGGAATGGCAGGGAGAGGTAGAGTGGGACTGGAAAACCAGAATGCGGGGCAAGGCGTGAGAGGGAAGCGCAGGGGAGAGAAGGAATGGCAGGGAGAGGTAGAGTGGGACTGGAAAACCAGAATGCGGGGCAAGGCGCGTGAGGGAAGCACAGGGGAGAGACGGAATGGCAGGGAGAGGTAGAGTGGGACTGGAAAACCAGAATGCGGGGCAAGGCGCGAGAGGGAAGCGCATGGGAGAGAAGGAATGGCAGGGAGAGGTAGAGTGGTGCTGGAAAACCAGAATGCGGGGCAAGGCGCGTGAGGGAAGCGCAGGGGAGAGACGGAATGGCAGGGAGAGGTAGAGTGGGACTGGAAAACCAGAATGCGGGGCAAGGCGCGAGAGGGAAGCGCATGGGAGAGAAGGAATGGCAGGGAGAGGTAGAGTGGGACTGGAAAACCAGAATGCGGGGCAAGGCGCGTGAGGGAAGCGCATGGGAGAGAAGGAATGGCAGGGAGATTGTGGTATAGCAGAATGGGGAGCAGGGACATAGTGGGTGTGCTGGAAAAATTAAGGACGGCCAGGGAGGGGCGGGGAAAGGCGGGCATGGCAGAATGGGGAGCAGGGAGAGAGGTGGTGTGCTGGAAAAAAATATGACGCTGAGGGAGAGGTCGGGAGAGGCGGGCTTGGCAGAATGACTAGCAGGGAGAGAGAAAGAGTGCTGGACAAAATTAGGATGGTCAGAGAGGGTCAGGGAGAGCCTGGCATAGCAGAATGTGGAGGAGGGAGAGAGTGGGTGTGCTGGAAAAATAGGGCGTTGAGGGAGAGGTTGGGAGAGGCGGGCATGACAGAATGGGGAGCAGGGAGAGAGGCGGTGTGCTGGAAAAAAATATGACGGTGAGGGGGAGGTCGGGAGAGGCGAGCATAGTAGAATCAGGACAGGGAGAGACGTGGTGTGCTGGAGAATTTTAGGATGGTTAAGGAGAAGTTGGGTGAGCCTGTTATAGCAGAATGGGGAGCAGGGAGAGGGAGGGTATGCGGGAAGAATTTAGGACGGTCAGGATAGGTGCATAGCAAAATGGGAGTAGGGGAGAGTGTGGGTGTGCTGAAAAAAAAAATATGAGGACGGTGAGAGAGAGGTTGGGAGAGGCGGGCATAGCAGAATGGCTAGCCGGGAGAGAGAGGATGTGCTGGAAATGCATCAAGATGGTGAGGGAGAGGTAGGGAGAGCCAGGCATAGCAGAATGGATAGCAGGGAGAGAGGATGTGCTGGAAATGCATCAAGATGGTGAGGGAGAGGTAGGGAGAGCCAGGCATAGCAGAATGAATAGCCGGGAGAGAGGTAGTGTGCTGGAAAAAAAACAGGATGGTGAGAGAGAGGTAATGGGAGGTTGGCATAGCAGAATGGGGAGCAGGGAGAGAGGGGGTGTGCTGGAATATTTATGAACGGTCAGGGATAGGTGCAAAGAAGAATGGGGAGGCACTCACTTGCACGTCGTTCCAAAAATTGCCGGTTTCGGGGGCGTCATACACCCTCACGCCCCTCACTCTCTTTCTATGCGCACGTGTAACAAGCGGATGGCTTAGTCTTGGTTCACTCAACAAATCTTGTAGGGCCTGCAAATGTTTAGCCATGTGGGAACGAGGGATAAGTGGGGCGCTGAAAAAAACATGAGCAAACACTCCAACATACCTTCAAGCTGTCACAGTACCAAAAGTTCAAAAATGCCTTTGTTCCAACGCGAGTGACCCCCTTCTTCCACGAACGGTCACAGTCAGCCACTCTCGATTGCACATGTCGGTACACATCTCGGGAAGATCTCCATTCCGCAACGTCAGCCCACGATGCGCCTTCATGGCTAAGAATCTTAAATAATCTAGCTACCGAGCATTGAGATACACGCTCTTAGAGAATCCAGCGTGCCAATTCGTCCTTGAAGGAGAATGGAGCTGCGGGGCGCGGATTAGATCCGTTGGGAATATGAGAAACTTCGTCGATCCCACTCGAGTCACTCATGCGTGCCATGAATGCCTCCGGATCAACGGCGGCACGAGCGGCTGCCGCATCGACACCATCCTCATCGGCTGGCTCATCAAACGTAGGTGGTACGAATACGTTTTCACTGCTGGAAGGACTCCACACGCGCCGACGTTGAGCGGGGGGTTGGATTGGTGGGGAATCTGACGCCTCTGCGCCTCTGGATGCAGCAGCTATTCTGCAAGCCGCACTACCTCTATGCGATTCTAGACCAGAATACACGTAGAAAGGCCCCGAACTACAGTCTGGGCATTCCATAGTGGCGGATGCAAGACTAATTTCTGTGTACTGAAGGCAAAAAGAAAAACAAAGCATGAGTGATTTGCATCAATATTATACTCCCCTGGTTGAGGTGATGTGAAGCATGTGAACACTTTAGTTGTCGTGAGATATAGTGCAGAGATTCATGAGAAGTGTTTAGCAATGAATGGATGAACTATGAATGAAGTGAGTACAAGTACTAACCCTAATTGGATTGTACCCCTTATGGGCTACCCCACTATAGCCTACACAATATGCAAAAGCTATATGTTCTGACACACCCCCATAGGCAAAGTGGGGGAGAACAAGGGGTCACAAGACCAGTCAAGCAAAGCAAAGCAAAGCAAGCTCAGGGTGGATCACAAAGTCACCACACAGTCCGAGCACAAAGTCAAGGCCACAAGGCCAGTTCACATGCAGGAGTGCACAAATATATAACACTAAACAAGCAAGAGCAGGTATATATATATGCAAGAGTACAAGTAAGATCAAGAGGTGAGCAAGTGAGGTAAGACAGGTACAAGTCCCAGCTGAGTGCAAAAGCGCTGATGATCACAAGGCGGAAGTGCCTTGGTGAAAACATCAGCAGTGTTGGCCTCAGAGGCCACGTACGCAAGTCGCAACTGACCACGCTGCTGCAGCTCACGAGCAAGAAAGTAGCGGAGAGCAATGTGCTTCGTTCTGTGCTCCAAGCGCTGCTCTCGACACAAGGCCAGCATGGCCTTGTTGTATACGTACAGCACTGGAGGAGAACGAGGCGGCTCTCCAAGGTCAGTCAGCAGGTAGGTGAGCCAGCGAAGCTCCTGAGCAGCCATGGCTCCGGCGTAGATCTCAGCCTCACAACTGGAGCCGAGAACAGAAGACGAGCGAGTAGCCCGCCACGAAACAGAGCCGAAACCAAGACTGAAGGTGTAACCCTGTGACGACCGCTGAGTAGCCTGGTCGTCAGCCCAAGACGCGTCCGCGTGCCCAGTGAGGACCACTGGACTCCGCCCTCCAAGCACTAGCCCCATGCCCGACGTACTGCACAAGTAGCGCAACACCCTCTTCGCTGCAGCCATGTGCTCTGGTCGGTGTCTCCCAGGAGCAACATAGCGTGCAAGAATGCTAAGAGGGTATGCAAGGTCAGGTCGTGTGCAGGTCATCAGGTACATGAGGCAGCCAACAAGCTCTGGGTACGGGCCACTCGACTCTACGGACTCATCCGAAGGCAGAGCTGAGAGCGAGTGGCGAGTAGACAGAGGAGTGGCCTGAGGCGAGGGGTACGTGAAGCCGAAGCGCTGAAGGACCTGCTGCACCATGTGTGACTGAGTCAAGGTAATGGTGCGGCGTGCTCTGTCCCGAGTGATCTGCAAGCCAAGGTAGCTGCGCAGTTCACCCAGGTCAGTGCGCGTGTGTCTCTTCTGCAGCTCGGACTTCACGTAAGGGAGTCCAGCAGTGTCAGCTGTGGCAAAGAACAAGTCGTCAACGTACACGAGGATGTAGAACGGCGGCAGAGAAGTGTCGGTGCGCAGAAACAACGACGGGTCAGCAGTAGAGGGAGCAAACCCAAGAGCCGCAAGCGTAGTCCTCAGTGTGTCGTGCCACTCACGCGGTGCCTGGCGGAGACCGTAGACTGGCCGTCGGAGGCTCCACTGGGTGCCAGGAGGGAAAGTCCCAGTGAAGCCAGGTGGACGGCGCAACCAGATCTCCTCGTGCAGGCTACCCTGCAAGAACGCAGTGCTGAAGTCAAGAGAGTGAAGCTCGTAGTCGCGCTGAGCGGCTATGTGCAGTAGCACCCGAAGAGTGGTCATCTTCGGGGTGGGAGAGAAGGTCTGAAAGTAGTCAACTCCCTGCCGCTGACTGAAGCCACGAGCCACGTACCGCGCCTTGAAGACAGGTGGAGAGCCCGACGGCCGCTTCACCCTGAAGATCCACATGCCACTGACGATGTTCGCCCCAGGAGGGGAAACCGCGTCAACGTAGGTGCCTGGGGACTTCCAGGAAGCCATCTTTGCATCCATAGCTGCCTGCCACTGAGAGGAGTAGGGACCCTCTACGGCCTCCGCGTAAGAGCACGGAGTCGGGATGTCTAGTGCATCCGGGTCTCCCTCAGGGGCAAGTAGTACGGACGCGAGATGAGGTGAAGCAGCAGCCAGACACTCAAACTCCTCCTGCCTGTCCTCAAGGACGTCCGTGCCAAGAGCACACTCACCCCCGACGGACGGAGGACAGACAGACGCAGACTCAGCAACGAGACTAGCAGTGTAGTCTAGACGACAGCGAGCAGCAAAGTCGACGAGCTCAGCAACAAGAGCAGACGCAACAGTGGACTCAAAAGAGGGGTCACTGACGACAGTAGCAAGGAGACGCGTGACAGTAGGACTGGCAGCACGAAGGGAGTCCGACTCCGGGTCGGCAAGCGCAGGAAGAGAGGACTCAGGAGGAGAAGGCAAAGGGGCACGCAGAGGAGCAGTGGACGGACGCATAGACATCCGGTGCGTGCCAGGGACAGGAGGAGGACGCTGACGCGAACCACGACCACTAGCGCGAGCAGTACGATCAGGTGACGCGGGACGAGACGCAGGCTCACGACGCTCAGCAAGACCTCCAGTAGGACCAGTGTCAGGAGAGGGAGCAGGAAGTGGGGAGGCGGGCTCTAACTGTGACTGTGACTGGACAGGCGGTGGACACTCTACAGGAGGAGAAGACCAAGAACCTGCTGTAAGAGCAGAACGAAGTACGGCCGAGGCCGCGCGGCAACTCCAGACATAGCAGGGACAGCACCAGCACCCCCAGCGGCAGTACCAGCGCCAACAGCACCTCCAGCTGTAGGACCTGAAGCAGCACTAGCAGCACCCGCAGGAGGACCACCGCCAGGAAGGACAGCAGCAGTCTCAGCACCAACTCCCTCAGCAGCTCCAGCTCCAAGCGGACCCGAAGGCCCAGCAGTTCCGGGACCGGCGGCACAAGCACCCTTAGCGGCCGAAGAAGCTCCAGCTCCAGCAGGACGCCTCCAGCGGCGAGCAGACCACTCGCGCAGCTTCTGTGGAGAGAGTGGCTCCCGCCGAGACGAAGCACCCGGAGAACCTCCAGGCCCAGCACCGCCAGACGCCACAAGGGGAGGTCCAGTGGCCGCAGGCTCCGCACCTCTAGGCTCACTAGCTCCAGACGCAGCACGCTCAGGCTGAGCACCCCCAGGCTCAACACCCCCAGGCTCAGCACCCCCAGTCGCAGCACCCCCAGGCTCAGCACCCCCACGCGCAGCACCCCCAGAGTCAGCACCCCCAGGCTCAGCACTCGCAGCAGTACCAGAGTCACCAGCAACCTCGACCGGCTCGACTGCGTCTACCTGGGACACACCTGAAGGGGCAGGACCCTGAGGGGGGAGGGGGTCTACCAAGGGGGGACCTGGCACAAGGAAGTGCGGTGGCGGGGGGAGGGAAGGAGTGCGGTAGGGGAAGAGGCGGTAGAAGGGGACTGACTCGTCGAACGTGACGTCCTGGGAGGACAGAACACGACGAGAGGAGGGGTGGTAGAACTGCCACCCTGGGGCGTCAGGGGGGAAGCCTAGGAAGACACAGGGAGCAGCACGAGGGGAGAGCTTGTTCGCAGACAAGTCGCGGACAAACGCCCGAGATCCCCAGACACGGAATGCAGACGCATCGCCGACCTTCCCCGTCCACAGCAGAGCTGGGGAGGTCACCGGCCGGGAAACCCTGGGGTGAAGGTTGATCTGATGCGCCGCGTACCGAACCGCAAACGGCCATAGAAAATGGGGGGCAGCCGCATGCATCATGGACGTACGAGCGACGTCCATGACCATGCCAATGCGGCGCTCAGCAATCCCATTTTGCTATGGAGAGTCCGGAAGCGTAAAGGTCTGGTGGATGCCTCGTGCACGACAGTAGGCTCGTAGAAGGCCAGAGGAGAACTCTCCACCTCGGTCAGAGTGCAGATGCAGAACAGGAAAGTCCGAGCCGAAGCTCCTCCTGAGCTGGAGACGAGCTGCGCGGATCCAGTCGATCAACACCTTAGTGACATCACCCTTGCTGCGCAAGGGGAAGACTGTGGTGTAACGCGAGTAGTCGTCAACCACCAGCAGGAAGTAGCGCTCGTGACCCTGTCCACCGACGCGGGCCGGGCCCCACATGTCCATATGAAGTGTCTGCAGAGGAGCCTCTATCAGGGGAAACTGGGAGGAGTGAGGGGCAGCCCGGAGCCGCCCCTCGATACAGGGGACATAGGAAGGTCCTGGCCCTGAAGGAAGGGGAGGGAGAGACTGGGGGAGACCAGAGACAAGGACACGGGAAGCCATGCCTCGCAGATAAGGCAGGGAGGGGTGGCCAAGACGGTGGTGCCACAGGAGAGTCTCGTGAGACAGGAGGCGACACGAGTAGGGGGCAGACTCAGGACCAGACCTGGACGCAGTAGCAAACACCTGACCCGACGCAGCTACCTGGCCAGACGCAGGGACAGGAGGAGACTCAGTGTTCAGGGTGTAGAGACTTGACCCCGGCCGACGCGAAAACGTGGCCAGGTGTCGGCCTGTGCGGGCGTCCGAGCAGTGGGTCACCCGCTGACTCGCAGGAGTAAACTGGTGAACCCCCGCATCCTGCAGGTCAGCACCACTCACCAAGTTCGTCGAGAACGAGGGGAGGTACAGACCAGACAAGGTGCCCGAGGGGGCAGCCGGACACGGGAGGACAGTGGAGAAGTGAGAGAGGACAGGACCCCCAGAGGGGTCCGCCAGGGAGACTGCAACCGGCCGACCAAGCGGCGTGAGTGTGGTGCGGTCACGAAAAAAGGAGCGAGAAGCCCCCGAGTCAAGTGTGAAGGTGAGGGAGGCCGAAGCCGACGCGGTACCTGAGAGCGCAGCCTCACCAGTACCTGAGGGCGCAGACGCGCTGGCACCTAGAGCAGCAGCCTCACAAGCACCTAGCGCAGCAGTACCAATGCCCGGGTCGGGCGGGAAACACTGGTAACAGTCACCCTCATCACTAATAGTCACAGCATAC